GATATTAATTTTTGCCTAGTAGAATTTGGTTCGGGTCGTTTATTATTTCACTTTCTTTCCTTGATTTGTTTGAGCACTGTTTGCAGTTCCAAATAATGTGTATTTGAGATTTCTGGTTGGATTATTCCTGTCTTAATTGGACTGATGTAAAAGCCTGGTCAACTTGCGATGACCAGTAACTGGAGAACTGGTTTTGCGGGATTCTAATAGCAAATCACCTTTCAACTATCAAACTGGTAGAAAGGATGGACCGGAGAAAAATTAACAATTATTGCGCGCGCGGCGCGCGCACACATATAAAGAATAAATGAGATTGGGAAGGATTGCACTAAAAATGCAACTCACTTATCAAATATCTTTCTTTGCTGCCCGATTATCTATAATTGATTTTTATGTCTACTTTGAAATATTTAATTAAAAGTTCTACTCATGAATCTGCTATATGTGCAACCTGATTTAGTTTAGAAAAAACTAAGCCTTGAAATTCCCACGCTGATACATGAGTTGTCACAGATGTGGCATTTTGGCTATTCCAGTAATGTACCAATTATATTCACTCATAATCTGCGGTCAAATTTGGGCAACTTAGCGTGCTACTGCTTGCTGATATTACCCAATTATAGAGCCAAATCACCAAGTGATAAAATAGTATCCCCAATAAGTTCACATAGAAAATATGTATAAAAAGAGAAAGAGAAGAACAATTTGTTTACACAAGCCCCCAAATCATGGTATTATCACCTGAATTTGGTTTTTCCCTTGCAAAATGTTATTTTTCTAGCGAACTTGGTTGTAGTTTGCACTAACTATGTAACAACTGCAGGTGAAAGTATTGTAATTCCAATGTTGCGTATGAAGTGTATATATGTTTGTTCTGTGAATGTTATGTTGCTGGGTGGCTATGCTAATAAACTTGCTCAAAAACTGAGAGACCTTAGCGCTGAAGTTTCATTGTCAAAAGAATGTGGGCAAGATTCCAAATATTAGAAAGCATGGTGTTTTTTCACAAATTCATAGGCCTGTGAGCCTTTTTGTGATCATCATGTGTTTTCTTCATGAATGAAACAAAAGTTGTAACAGGTTTTGTTGTTTCTGAGTATCTCCAGATTTCAGCAGTCTGCATGACGTTTTACTAGTATCGGAGCACCGTGGCCTCTGTATTTCTTTTACTTGCCAATATGTTTAATTTTTTTATTGATCTTTTCAGTTCACAACACAGTACTGAAATGTGTTTAAACTATTAAGTCATCTTTGGGTCAGGCAGTGGCCCACGTGGTGATTAAACTCTTGATTTAACTAATATTTGCAGCAGACAAGTATGAAAATTCACGGCCCTCAGTGTATCAATTTGCATCCCTGCTTGTAATTTGATCATCATATTTCTATTGTGAATATGAGACTGTTCCTTGCTAAGCATGTGAAGCCTACTCTTATCTAATTTAGAAGGGTGTGAATTGGGGTTTCTGGCTGCATACGTTTTTTTTTTTTTTTACCCCTAGATTGGAGGGTCTGATATGTAGACTAGACTGAATAAACTTTTGGAGGGTATCTCTTAATATCTTGATGTCTTGTAGCATCTAAATGGCTTAGACAATGCTTATATTTCATTGAAGTATCTTCAATTTAATCTCATCTTGTGCATCTGTATCAATTTTAGATGTTGAAGTTTAAAGGTTCTTTTGAGAGTCATAGTTGTATTACTTTTTGGTAGTTTCCCATTATGCTTTGATCTCCATATCGAGAAAAGAAAACGGAAAGACTTCACATGGTGGAACTTAAGTGCATGATGTAGGAAATGCATAGTTTTGGTCACACTCATAGTCCAGTTTTTACTAGGGGGTCTTGGTGTATAAACTACCAACTTACTAATTATAGTCTTGTTTACTTCTCATGGCTTACCTTTGAGTCTATCATTATTGGAAGATCTGTGTCAAATTTTTTCATTCGTCATTTCAAGCAACTCATTTACTGCTGTTTGATTTTCCCTGCCTTCATTACACACTATGCATTTGTAGCAGAAACAGGTGTACATAATAGTCCGTCATTATTGTATTGATGTTATCTGCATAGCATAAGGGAATGAGTTAAAAACTGTGATTTGATAGTGCTTTTACTTGTTTATTGGTTCATGTTTCCTAAATCTGCTGCCATGCCTTTTTGGTGGTAATTGTTGTAGGTTAGTCTTCCACTTCACCTGCAATGGCTGACAGTCATGAATCAGACAAGAACATTGAGATATGGAAGATCAAGAAATTGATTAAAGCATTGGAAGCTGCAAGAGGTAATGGTACCAGCATGATTTCTTTAATAATGCCTCCTCGTGATCAAATATCCAGAGTCACTAAGATGTTGGGAGATGAATTTGGAACTGCTTCAAACATCAAAAGCAGGGTCAATCGACAGTCAGTATTGGGAGCCATTACTTCTGCACAACAGAGGTTGAAGTTATATAATAAGGTTCCTCCAAATGGATTGGTTCTTTATACCGGAACTGTTGTCACTGAAGATGGCAAAGAAAAAAAGGTGACAATTGATTTTGAACCTTTCAAGCCTATTAATGCGTCACTTTACCTTTGTGATAACAAGTTTCACACTGAAGCTTTAAATGAGCTTTTAGAATCTGATGACAAATTTGGATTCATTGTTATGGACGGAAATGGTACCCTTTTTGGGACGTTAAGTGGAAATACGCGTGAGGTGCTTCATAAATTTACTGTTGATCTACCAAAGAAACATGGTAGAGGAGGGCAGTCTGCTTTGCGTTTTGCTCGTCTTCGCATGGAAAAACGACACAACTATGTTAGAAAGACTGCTGAACTCGCCACACAGTTTTTCATTAATCCTGCCACTAGTCAGCCTAATGTTGCTGGACTTATACTTGCGGGTTCAGCTGACTTCAAGACTGAGCTGAGCCAATCGGATATGTTTGATCCTCGTCTAGCAGCAAAAATATTAAATGTGGTTGATGTTTCATATGGTGGGGAGAATGGTTTTAATCAAGCTATTGAGTTATCTGCTGAGATTTTGTCGAATGTGAAGTTCATTCAAGAAAAGAAGTTGATAGGGAAATACTTTGAGGAGATCAGCCAGGATACTGGTAAATATGTCTTTGGGGTTGATGACACATTGAAAGCTCTGGAGATGGGTGCCATTGAGACACTTATAGTATGGGAAAGTTTGGATATCAATAGGCTTGTACTGAAAAATAATTCTACTGGTGAGATTGTCGTAAAGCACTTAAACAAGGAACAAGAGGCTGATGAAACCAATTTCCGGGATTCAGCCACTGCTGCCGAGTTGGAGCTGCAGGACAAGATGCCATTGCTGGAGTGGTTTGCCAACGAGTACAGACGATTTGGTTGCTCGCTGGAATTTGTGACCAATAAATCTCAAGAAGGATCGCAGTTTTGCAGAGGGTTTGGTGGCATTGGAGGTATCCTTCGCTACCAGCTTGATATCCGATCATTTGATGAGTTCTCTGATGACGGGCAGGTGTACGAGGATTCTGATTAAGCATCTCTTTTGTAGAGCGTTCCTTCACTTGGCTATGGACAATTGGATGGGGCATCATTGCTGTTATGACTCGACATTCCCATCCATCACTTGGATTTTATGGCTAAGATGTAGTTATTCTGTGTTTCATCCATGAAAATGTGCAAGTCAATTTGGATATCCTCTGCTAGAAATGTTTGTTTTGTTTTGTTTTCATCTTGTTTTTGTGGGTTGGTCAGTCAATGTAATATGACAACTAAACCATGATATGTGGTGATTCCTCCAAAGAAACAGACGAGGCACGGCTCAAATTACAGGTACGAACGATTGCTTTTACCGCCATATGATACGCAAATGGCGGCATATAATATTATTTTTAAAAATTTCTCTGGTTTAGGAAAATGATATGATCTTTAGTTGCTCGAAATCCGTCTTTTCAACCACCAGAACCCATCTCCAAATGCCTGCTGCGGAAAGGAAGGTTGGAGGTGGATGAAGACTGAAAGAACTGGCCTCGCGCAAGGGATAGAGAGTGTATGGTCAACCATTCACTCTCTAATGTCCATAAAGGAATCGGTAGAACGTATCGTTTTGGGTAAAAATCGTTCATGTTTCCCGCTCTCTGAGCGCCACATTTTCCCTTCCATTCTGCTGTGCAGCTGCCGGCTGGCTACCCATGAAGGTAGGTAACAATGGGAACCAATCCTTTCTTATATTGCCGCCAACAAATCCTTCAGTTGTTGGATTATAATTATAATTATAATATAATCATGATGAAACAAAAAATGTAAATTTTTTTCAATGCATGACCACCGGCTATAAATTTTGAAAGGCCACAATATGGAAGCACCCTCAATTTCAAGGCTGAAGTCAGATGTTAGATGTCAGTAACTTCTGCTGACGCAGTATAATCACACCTACAATCCGTAACAGCTCTTTTTTGGGCCACCAAGGTTTTAACAACAGATTTGGGAATCAAGCCAGATTTGTTTTTTTTGACCTCACAGTTAAGCCAGATTAACATCATCAGGTAATTTAACAGTTTAGGTTATAAACGCCAATGACATAAAACAAGCATGCTTACGTGAAACTGCCGTACGAGGAGGCGGGAAAGGAATTATTTGAGGTTCAGTCTCACCCCTTCACGTCGGTTTTCAGCTCCAAATTATCAAGTTTTTGGCCGTCAGATTCATTCATTCGATCACTCACTGTCGTTTGATGCTTTTGAAACGATGGTCAGCCGTTGTATTTAATGCTGATAATTTTGGACAAATCATATATCAAATCAAAATATAGCGATGGTTAATATATTTCAAAAAATAAACCAAGAAAAAATTCTTCCTGAGCAAGCAATATACGGACATAAATAGATGGACGGTCTAGATCTCTTCCATGAAACGTCTCATTTTCCTGTCGCTATCGTTCGAGAGGTTGACACGATCGGGGCCCTCCAAGTCGAAGTCTTTCTTATTTGGGTCTAAGGATTGCGCTGCGACATTTGGATTTAAGCCTTCGTTTCCCCATTTTCTTCTCTCATAATAGATCACATCACCACAAGCTGCTTCCTTCCTTCTACTTCCACTTCCGAACCTTTTCAATTCACGCTGCTTACTTTGGCTGCTGCACCAGCTTCAAAATTCCCTATTCCTTATCGCATAAACCCCTTACTCGGTTCTGGAAAAATATCCGTACTATCGAAGAAAGTGAGCTTGGACGACCATACATACATGGGGTCCAGCAATGACCCGACCCAAGACGGATTGGACGAGCAGCAGAAGCGGTCGGAGATCTACACCTACGAAGCACCATGGCACATCTACGCCATGAACTGGAGTGTCCGTCGCGATAAGAAGTACCGCTTGGCCATAGCCAGCTTGTTGGAGCAGTACCCCAACAGGGTCGAAATTGTTCAGCTTGACGACACTAACGGGGAGATTCGATCCGACCCTAACCTCTCCTTCGAGCACCCTTACCCTCCCACCAAAGCCATATTCATTCCTGATAAGGAGTGCCAGAGGCCGGACCTCCTCGCCACCTCTAGCGACTTTCTCCGAATCTGGCGCCTGTCCGACCCGGAAGAAAACCCGACGCCGCGGGTGGAGCTCAAGAGCTTCCTTAATGGGAACAAGAACAGCGATTACTGTGAACCTCTCACCTCTTTCGATTGGAACGAGGTGGAGCCTAAGCGAATCGGCACTTCTAGCATTGACACCACCTGTACCATCTGGGATATTGAGAAGGAGACGGTGGACACGCAGCTTATCGCTCACGACAAGGAGGTTTACGACATCGCTTGGGGTGGTGTGGGTGTCTTCGCCTCCGTCTCTGCCGACGGCTCCGTTAGGGTTTTCGACTTGCGGGACAAAGAACATTCGACTATCATCTATGAGAGCTCGGAGCCGGATACCCCCTTGGTTCGACTCGGCTGGAACAAGCAGGACCCAAGGTACATGGCCACCATCATCATGGACAGTGCCAAGGTTGTCGTCCTCGACATTCGTTTCCCGACGCTTCCTGTGGTTGAGTTGCAGAGGCATCAAGCCAGCGTGAATGCCATTGCTTGGGCTCCTCACAGTTCTTGCCATATCTGCACTGCAGGGGATGACTCTCAGGCTCTGATATGGGATCTTTCCTCAATGGGCCAGCCAATGGAAGGCGGGTTGGATCCTATTCTTGCATACACCGCTGGGGCGGAGATTGAGCAGCTTCAATGGTCTTCATCTCAGCCTGACTGGGTTGCGATTGCTTTTTCCACCAAGCTTCAGATTCTTAGGGTATAAAGGATTGGTATTTTCGTTCACCTAATTGTTACACAAAGTAAAAGTGCTGGACATGGTATCTGGCTTCTGCCACTGAACATGCATGGTGGATTTCAGGTTTATAGTTTTACTTCCTCTTGTAAACATGCTCCTGCCCTATTTGGATGATACTGATGACGTTTTGTCTCCGCTGTTCTGGCAATTGCATGGAGTGTGAATCATCATGTCCGTTATCATTTAGGTCCCCCAACTCTCTTGTTCGAAATTTTGATCATTTTTTCTTCAGGTCAGTGACTTTTATGCTAGTGCCTTCAGGCTACTGGCCTTCCCTTGTTTGTTTTGCCCATTAAACCTGCTAACTCGAAAGAATTAGTGCAATGCAAATGATGGTTTTAGAAATGAAATGATTCATGCACAATCACATACATGGATGTACCCGGGTTCAATTTTTGAGGGAAAGACCATTTGATACTACTGACAGGGAAATCACTGAGGATTGTTTACTGTGAAGGTACGATTTGGAATTTAAACGAAGAGCAAAGTAGGCTTCGCGGTGTATTGATAGTAAAAGATCCATGTTTTCCCTTTTGATCTACGTATGATTTCCGCTATGATATTTACGTTATCAAACGTTGCTTTTAAAATGTGCAAGGTTCTTTCACTAGGTATGTGGTTGTCCTATACGACGGTCTTCACCTTTTTGGCATCAGTAAATTAAATTTGGTCATTGGAAACCACTCCAATTTTTTTCCCTCTCTTGGACATTTTGTTTGGTGCCAGTTGTATAACTTTTTTTTTTCTAGCTTCAATGAGAATGAATATGGTGGAAAGTATTACTATTCAGTGAGATAATCATGAGTTTGGCTAACCTCACCTACTTGTAGAAAGTCTCTTTTCTCTTAAATCATGCTCTTCGTCGTGGGGAGCCTTGTCTTGCGATCTATCTAGGCGCACCGTGATAAACGAAACTTGCAATAGACCGAGTATGAGACAGAATGGTCTGTTATACTATTTATCTTCAAAAGTAGAGAGAAAAAGCATTAGAAGATGGGCAGCGGTCGTGAATTTTCAACCTGAGATCTGATAAAAATCTGTTTGTTTCCTGGTTCCATGTGTCTCTATTTCCATTTCACTCAGAGATTGAGACGAATAATAAATGAAGAAGTAACAATATAATTGGTAAATTAAGCATCAAATCCAAAGCATATTACGTTGGCAATGATTGTTCAATTATTACTGATTAAAAGGTGCGTCCAGCCTTTAAGCCAGCAACGTAGCATTCCATAGTAAAAAAGGGTGAGTATGAAGCGTATAAATATGGTCTTGTATAAATAATTAGATGTTGATGATTTTGTTATTTTGCCCAGTCTAGTACTTACAAGGAACCTACATCCAGAGTGTACTTCTCCGGATTTTATGGAGGCAGTCTAGTCATGTTGGCAAATGACGTCCTTGATTGGGATGCTTGGGTGACAAATCATAACAACAACAAACAACAACAACAAGCCTTTATCCCACTAGGTGGGGTCGGCTACATGGATTGCAAGACGCCATTGTGCTCTATCATTTATTAAGCTTTTAGAAATATTATTAATTAAGAGATCACGTTCAACAACTTCCAAGAGTGTTCTCTTAGGCCTTCCTCTACCTCTCTTAATCGGACTCAAAGTTATATGTTCCACTCTTCTCACTGGTGCCTCCCTTGGTCTTCTTTGTACATGCCCAAACCATCTCAACCGATTTTCTACCATTTTTTCCTCAATAGGTGCCACCCTCACTTTTTCACGTATGTGCTCATTTCGAATTTTATCTTTACGTGTATGTCCGCACATCCATCGTAACATTCTCATCTCTGCTACTCCAACTTTATGCTCTTGCTGTCCCGTTAGAGCCCAGCATTCACTACTATATAACATTGCCGGTCTGATAGCAGTACGATAAAACTTTCCTTTAAGTTTATTAGGCACCTTACGGTCACAAATAACTCCTTTAGCTTTTCTCCAATTAAACCACCCAGCTTGAATTCTATGTGAAATATCTCCACTGATTTCGCCATCATTTTGGATAATGGCTCCCAAATATCTAAACTTTTCCACTTGAGGTATAATTTGATCTCCCAATTTCACTTCCAAATTATTTTCGAATAGTCCTTTATCAAATTTACAATATAAATATTCCGTCTTACTTCTACTCAGACGAAAACCTTTCGACTCCAATGTCCTCCTCCATAACTCAAGTTTGCAATTAACCTCTTCTCTTGTCTCTGCTATAAGAACTATATCATCCGCGAAGAGCATACATTTCGGGATTTCCTCTTGAATATGTTCCGTCAAAACATTTAAAATCAAGTTGAACAAATAAGGACTCAGAGATGATCCCTGATGTAGCCCAATCTTTATAGGAAAATCCTTTGTTTGACCACTAGGCGTTCTTATACTAGTTTTTACCCCCTCATACATATCTTGTATGGCTTTAATATAAGCAATCCGTACTCCCTTTTTTTCCAACGCTTTCCAAAGCACTTCTCTTGGTATACGGTCATAAGCTTTTTCCAAATCAATAAAAATCATGTGTAGATCTTTATCTTTACAACGATACTTTTTCATTAATCCCCTTAGTAGATAAATCGCCTCTGTAGTTGATCTACCTGGCATAAAACCAAATTGATTCTCAGAAATACTTGTCTCCAATCTCAACCTGTGCTCAATTACTTTCTCCCACAATTTCATTGTGTGGCTCATGAGTTTAATCCCTCTATAGTTAGTACAATTCTGAATATCTCCTTTATTTTTATAAATAGGAATTAATGTACTTCTCCTCCACTCATCAGGCATTTTCTTGGACCGTAAAATCACATTAAATAACTTAGTTAACCATCTCACCCCTTCTTCACCTAAACATTTCCACGCTTCGATAGATATACAATCAGGTCCGTTAGCTCTACCATTTGCCATTTTCTTAAGAGCTTCCTTTACCTCCTTATCACGTATTTTTCGATAGAATGACAAATTTTGTTCTCCTTCACCAGTTACTAAATCCTCCAAGTTACTAGATGAATCCTCTCCATCATTGAAAAGTTTAAAAAATAAGTCTCCCATCTATTTTTAATTTCATCATCTGTAACTAAAATTCTTCCCTCTTCATCCTTAATACACCTTACCTGTTCTAGATCTCTTGATTTTCTTTCCCTACTCTTGGCAATCTTATAAATATTTTGCTCTCCTTCCTTCGTCTCAAGGTTCTTATAAAATTCTTCAAAAGCTTTAGAACGAGCTTCACCCACAGCTCTCTTAGTTTCCTTCTTAGCCATACGGTACCTCTCCCAATTTTCCTCATTGTTACACAAATGTATGGCTTTAAAACAGTTCTTCTTATACTTGATTTTGTCCTGTACACTATTATTCCACCACCAAGACTCCTTATCTCTCGGACCAGAACCTTTCGATTCTCCCAAAACTACTTTTGCAACCTCCCGTATCTTTTTAGCCATATCCTCCCATATGATGTTAGCACTTCCCTGAGAATCCCAAATTCCTTTATCCAAAAGATTTCGCTTGAAAATATCTTGCTTCTCACCTTTTAATTGCCACCACCTAATCCTTGGTGTTACTACTTGTCGACGTTTTTGGATTTTACTCATAATACACACATCAAGGACTAGGACCCTATGTTGTGTCGTTACAGCATCTCCAGGGATCACCTTACAATTTTTACAAAGTTTTCTATCTGTGTTCCTAACCAAAAGAAAATCAATCTGCGACCTTGAGGCTCCACTTTTGTAGGTGATGAGATGCTCATCTCTCTTCTTGAAACAAGTGTTGGCAATCTTAAAATCATACGCCAATGAGAAATCAAGAAGAGTTTGCCCTTCATTGTTTAGCTCTCCAAAACCAAAACCACCATGCACCCTCGCATACTGACCAGCTTCCCTCCCGACATGCCCATTAAAGTCTCCTCCAATAAAAATCTTTTCACTCTGTGGTATGTGTCGAATCAACCCCTCCAGATCCTCCCAAAATAATTCCTTAAGACTGGCTTCTGTCCCGACTTGCGGCGCATAAGCGCTAACAATATTAACAGTCTCACGTCCAATTATCATTTTTAAAGAAATAATTCTGTCTCCAATTCTGCTAACTTCTACAACGTTCTTCTTCCACTCCTTATCTATAATGATGCCTACTCCATTGCGTGCACTTACTTTTCCTGTATACCAAAGTTTGAAACCTTGAATATCCTTAGCTTCTTCTCCACGCCATTTTGTTTCTTGCAAGCAAAGGATATTGATTTCCCTTTGAATCATAACCCCTACAACCTCTACAGATTTACAATTTAATGTCCCAACATTCCAAGTACCAAATCTAATTTTGCTCTTATGGACTAACTTCTTTAGCCGCGTGCGTCCAGAATGACGCGGTAGCCCTTGCTCATTTAACACTACATCCGGGCGCCGATGCAGCGGCTCTAACTCACTTATCACTGTACTCGAGCCATGCAGCGCGTTACTTACGGGCAACGACCTAGCATTAACATTATAACGTCTATTGTCCATGTTCATGATAGATTCAACAAATTTTTACATTGGCTGTTGATGGCCTAACACAACCCTCCTCCTTTACCCGGGCTTGGGACCGGCTATAAACATAGGCGGAGTTTTGGGTGACAAATCATGCATAGCTTTAATTCGCTTCAGAGGACGTCCGTGACAGTATCTTCTGGGTGACACAATATTGCCAGATGATGCTTTCACGTTCCACCATTCTGGTCCATCTAACTCATAGTCGTCGCCGTTTTTTGTGCAGCTAGACGTGTGTCTGAATCAGGACCTGGGAGTCAGAACAAGAACGCAAGGTTTGCACTTTTACCCGATATGGGAAGCTGCATTCGTTGATGAATGGTTATACAATGGCAGTCCTTATGAACTAATCGTTCTATACTTCTTACTTGGTGTAGCTTGTTACATGGGTCGTGAGTGGGAACTAAGTTAGCAGTAAAGGGGATCCACTTATGTCGGTGAATCAATTCTGATGAATGAACTGTCATTTATCAAAGATCAAATTTGTGGTGAACAAATGGAAGAAGAAGATCTCATTGGCGGCTGCTTGCCCTTCTAGATGGGGAGGGCCAAAATTTATCGCATGCACTACAAAAATGATCAAACAAATCTCCTGAAAGAAGAATCATCGGATCTCACTTCTATTTTATGCTGCATGTAAGTTAGGCCGAAGTTCTCATATCACATGGCATCCCATGGTGTTCTTATCACTGAAATAGTCTCCTACTCGTTCTGTTGGTCTCAGGAATGGTGGTTGAAAGCTTGACTTGTCAAAATGGTAATATTCCTCTTCGGGAGGATCTGGATATGAAGGTATTGGATAACAAGGGAGTGCTACTTCGCAAGGCTGGGCAATGTTACAGTACTGAGGGTGAATTTTGATGTTACTATGTGGGTGCATACTTGGATGAACCATGAAATCAACTTGTGGCTGAACAGTGAAATCCACTTCAGGACGAGGTATAGGGGGGTTTTCCTTCTTCATATCTTGAGGGAGAGTGAAAGTATTTGCAGTCATGTTAGATTCTGAATCCTTGTTTTGCTTTCTTGGATCTTGGTTCTTGCCTCTGCTTCCTCCTTCTTTGATTTCCTTAGTTTTCTCTATTTTAATGTTGCCTGTATCGAGATGCTTTTCTTCTTGACGCCCATTGTTCTGTTTTTCTGTCTCTTTCATTGTGGCTGCAAGTCCTGCTCCTTTCTTTTCATCTTCAAATTCCTCGTATCTGCAGAGTTCTGCATGCTTTCCAACTTTTAAAAGCCTTTTGTCAAGATTTGCGGATTCCCGTTGCCTAACACGGTTACCCTGGGCTGCAAAGGGTCTATATCCATCTTCAGAAAACCTAACAATGTGAATCACAACACTCAGCACCTAAAGAGCCAGAAGACATGTAATAAGTAGTTATCCAATATTTACCTTCAATCCTTCCTAACGCCCTCTTTACTTTTTTCTTGCATCATTCGCAGCAGTTAGTTGACCCCTTCAATTCAATCTTCTGAAATAATTTCAAATGCAAACAGGTTTAAGCTCGTATGTTCTGGCGTTCAAGTGAGGGTACAAAGTGGAACAAAGAAAAAATAAAGAGAAACTGAAGTAAGTAGATGAGTTTAAAGAGAGAGGATCAGCAACTTTAAGTCTACTTCCTTTGCTATGTTCCTGATCAGTAAGGGTCCAGGAGGGCCCCAAAGGGAGGCAGGAAATGTAAAATTAGGAAGCTTTCTGGGGTAGTCTACCTCTTGCAGTGGCCACCCTATTTATGCGCAGCAGAAAAACAGAGGAACAGTGCTGAACATAATGTGTACATTTGCTTTTCAATATTATAAAGTATTTGCATGCACCTTCTCTTATTTTGTTCCAACGAAAAATCATTTTGGGACAGCTCTGACCAAAGCTTAACCTTCAGATATTCACAAGTTTTTCCCCCTCAACCTTTCCTTTGTGCAATTCGCTACATATTGTTAGTTGTAACTTCAGAAGTACTTTAAGTTTACTGTTCAGCACTTGTAGCACTCAGCACTCGTAACATTGTTTTTGCTGCAGAAGTAGAAAGTTGGTTTTACTATGACCTTAAACATTAATAGGAATGCTCTGCTTGTTTGTTACTCACTGCCTTTTCTTTTTGTGGGGCGAGTTTCTTGAGGCAATCTAATGTGAATTATACGACAAAATTTAACCTTCATCATGCCTTAGAATTGGTGGCTAATATTGCAAACGACTGCGAGATTTATCATTCCATAAACTCCACTGACCACTAATTTATATTAAAAAAAAATGAGGATGGTGAAGGGACCATCATAATCATGTGCAATGTTCAACTGTGTGGATATATCTGCTCAACAATTTCAACCGTGGCTGTGGGGTTTTGTCAATGAGGATCGTAAAAGTAAAATTTTTGAAGGGCTCAGGTCAGAAAGGATGGAAGGAGAAGTAAGGTTAATTACATGTGTTTATTACTATCAAGAGATTGTATTGAATACTATAATTCAAAATCTATTTGCAAATCAACACAAGATATTGATGTATTTAAAAATTTCTACAATATAAAGTTTTTAAATACAATAAATAGCTCTAGCCTGTCTTTATACAAACTTGTGTTGAAAGTTGGTGCACCAATAATATTTTTTAAAAACATTGATCAAGTAGCAGGTCTATACAATGAAACTCATTTTAGAATCACAAGACTTGGCAAATAGTTATTGAAGCTATAACATTAAATAGATTAAAGCCTAATTAGATGTTAATTTATAGAATAGACATAAATCCTTCAAAGAGTAGATGGTCATTTTACATGTAAAGAAGACAATTCTCTATTATATTATCCTTTGCAATGACTATTATCAAGAGTCAAAATCAATATTTAAACTATGTTGGATTGTACCTTTCAAAGTCAGTTTTCACTCAAAACCAACTTTATGTTACATTATCAAGAGTGAAATCAGTTAATGGATTGAAAATACTTTTACATGACCATAATAACATTTGTAAAACTACAACAAATGCAGTTTACCATGAGATATTCAAAAATTTGTAATTGGCACCAATTGATTTTAGTTTTTCTTAAATTAATTTACTTTGCATTGTTATAGTTTGGTAGTGTTACATCAATTTTTGAATATTCACGTATCTATGTGCTATTTTTCAACCATTAGTTTTCATTTGAATTAATTCATAAGTTGTCACACACAAGTTTAGAATTAAATGTGAGTTAAATGCATTAGACATTAAATACTATTTGTGATCGCTCCAGTGCATTGCACGGGGGAGTGATTGCTAGTTGCAAATAAAAAAGGTGGTCGGTGTTTGACCTTGAGATTTAGGTAGTTTTTTTAAAACTTATCATAATTAATTGATTTAGAAAAGCTTGCTTCTCAAGCTCCGAATATGCGTCGTTGGCCCTAAAAAGGAAAACGTCTGAAAAACTTTAAGAACAAAGGCAATCTTTGGAGGGCTCTTTTGCTCTGCTCTATTTGTTTATGTTTGATTGAACGCTTTCGTCATGCCAACAAGGACTCGATATTCGGTTAGCTCGAGTATTCAAAGCACCCATTTACCTATAATTCCTACCTTTGTAGATTGCATGTTGAATTATATTTCATCTTCGAATCACCTCTCTCCTGTGAAACGCATACATACACCACTTGTACATTGTGGAATTGATTGAGGGCCGTACACGTGAGCAAAGGGGCAGTCCACTTCCATCGTTCTGTTAAAATGGTTGTCATTTATTTATTTGTTAAGCCGTAAGAACGTATAATTGAACTTGGAAATGCCATCAACGCCTCAGATTGGGCATTTTGAATCAAATCAATGCGGCTGCGGAATGACATTACAAATAGGGTAGATGTATTTTACTTGACAAATGCTTTGTTATTGTAGCTAATAGCCTACGGGCCATCACGTTGGAAGTTGAATCACATCAAAAGAAACAGGTTTAGAGGGGTTAACAACCAGCAGGATAGGTCAGACCCATTCATCTTTTGCGCCTATCTATTTCTTTGCAACGCCATGGTGATACAAAAGAGTGATATAACCACAATTTCGATTGACCACAAAGACCTAACTTCAAAATCTTCAAATATTAATGGACGGATGGTTTGCATGAAGAAGAACCGTATGTTGTGAGCAACGCATGAACCCAAGTAAATAATGGCCCCCAAGTGTCGAGATATTTTTGATTGATGGAGAGAGGAGGAAAAAACAAGGTGGGCCAGTTAGGATTCAAGGCTCAGGCCCAACCAATGGGCAGGTATCAGCAAAATAGGAGAGCCACAGATGATTGGAGTCACAGGCACGAGAAGGAAGCACCAACCACAGCCATTCATTGTAGAAGAGGCTATCCAGAATCTCATCCTCACTCTGCCTTCACGAGCCTCAGCCACTCATCTTCCTCCTCTCCGACGCTTATTAAAATTAATCACGCATTACATTGAACTGAAAATATTCACTCTTTGGTGCTGATTTCTCTCCACATTAGTGCCACCCCAGCTGCTTCCGAGCATTCACTTCACATTTTTCCGCTCTCTGGGTGATGATCATGGCTTCGGCCCTCTCTCCGTAGCCCAACCAGCTCTCCAGGTTCCATGCCTTGTTATTTCTTTTGAATCCTCTGCTTTTATCTTCCTGTTTCGTAGGCATAAACATTGTGAAACACTGTAAAACAAGGCACGTTAATGTTGGCAGCCACACTGTTATTTGCTGAAACTGAAGTTGTCTGTTTATGATCGATGTTGATACCTTGATGCAGGGAAAGGAAAGAGCTTCTCCGAATTCTCCGGCCTCCGCAGCTCATCGGGCTACCTTCCCTTGTCTAAGAAATCCTCCGACGACTTCCATTCAGTCGTTGCCTTCCAGACCTCTGCAGTAAGTTCTCGCATGCCCCCAATACCCACTTTACCCTCAGTACTTATTGACCTCTCTGAGGATCCAGGAATGTCTTACGGATAATGTATAACTCCAAAGTCCAAACTAATATAATAAAATATTAAGGGAGGCACATACGCTTGTCTGTACTCTCGTTTCCTTATTGTTTTAAATTCTACCACAAGAACAAGGCTACTTGATACACTGATAATAAAGGGTAGTCTAATGTTTACATCACGGTAATGTATTGTACATAAGTCTGCCCCGAGAACTCGCGCTGTATGTAGTACATGATCATAGATATCTTTGCACATACATATTGCTCTGTTCCCAGAACAGCAAAAGGAAAGTTAAACTAGATGAATTGAAACTATTGGAAACGGTAGTTATGTATAAACTGAACTAGCAGAAGTGAACAAAAATGAATGGGGTTTGAACGTTTAGTGGGTAAGAACTAAGAAGAAATGTGATGTGTGAAGGTTAAAAGCAGCGGAGGGTACAGGAAAGGAGTGGCGGAAGCAAAACTAAAGGTAGCCATTAACGGGTTTGGTAGGATCGGAAGGAACTTCTTGAGATGCTGGCACGGTCGAAAGGACTCTCCTCTTGACGTCATCGCCATCAACGACACCGGAGGTGTCAAGCAGGCCTCTCACCTCCTCAAGTACGACTCCACCCTCGGAATCTTCGAGGCCGACGTCAAGCCCGCGGCGGCGACAGGGCCATCTCAGTGGACGGAAAGATCATCCAGGTCGTCTCCGACCGCAACCCCGTCAACCTCCCTGGAAGTAATAATCACATGCATCCACCTCTCTCTTCCATCCCTCCCTCGATCATATAATAACCTCTCATGCATGATGCAGGGAACTGGGGATTGACTTGGTGATAGAAGGAACAGGGGTGTTCGTGGACAGAGAAGGAGCCGGGAGGCACATTCAGGCAGGAGCCAAGAAGGTGCTCATTACAGCACCAGGCAAAGGTGTGACATTCCTACCTACGTCGTTGGCGTCAACGAAGACGCTTACAGTCCCGACGAGCCCATCATCAGCACGCTTCTTGC